CTGGATCTGTCACTTTAAATTCTAGGGGTGTTCCTGGCCTTACTGGCAGGCTGGGGGCTCTGTAGGGAAGAGTCTGATCAGAGTCTGCAGAGAGCCAGCCTAGAACAAGGTGGGTGAGTTTAGCCCCTGGGCTGTGGGGTGCAGCCTGTTTTGTCTGTTGAGAAACAGCCAAATGAAAGAGTCCCATTCAATTACATCACATAATGGCAGACAGCTAAAAAGGGACAATTTTAAAGTGCTTATATACACATGCTAGACGTCTAAATAATAAGTTGGGTGAATTTGAGTGCCTCATATTAAATGAGGATATTGATGTAATAGGCATTGCAGAAACTTGGTGGAATGAGAATAATCAGTGGGACAGTAATACCAGGGTACAAAATATATTGGAAGGATAGAACAGGTGGTGCTGGTGGGGGAGTGGCACTAGATGTGAAAGAAAGCGTAGAGGGAAATAAAGTAAAAATCTTAAATGAATCAAACTGCACCATAAAATCTCTATGGATAGAAATTCCATGCTTGAATGATACGACTATAGCAGTAGGGATATACTACTGACCACCTGACCAGGAGGGAGACAGTGACTGTGAAATGCTCGGAGATTAGAGAGGCTATAAAAATAAAAAAATCTGTTCTAATGGGGGATTTCAACTATCCCCATATTGAGTGGGTACATGTCACCTCAGAACGGGGTGAAGAGATGAAGTTTCTTGACACCTTAAATGAAGCTTCTTGGAGCAGCTGGTCCTAGAATCCACCAGAGGAGAGGCAATTCTTGATTTAGTCCTAAGTGGAGCACAGGATCTGGTCCAAGAGGTGAATAGAGCTGAACTGCTTGTTAATAATGACAATAACATAATAAAATTTAACATTCGGGTGGGTGGGAGGGGAGGACACAAACCACAACAGCCCACCATGGTAGCATTTAATTTCAGAAAGTGGAACTACACAGAAATGAGCAAGTTAGTTAGAAATTAAAAGCCAAACTGCAAGGAAACATTTTAAAGACATCATAATAGAGGCTCAATTTAAATGTGTACCCCAAATAAAAAACACAGTAAGAGGACCAAACAAATGCCACCATGGCTAAACAACAAAGTAAAAGAGGGAGTTAGAGGCAAAAAGGCATCCTTTAAAAAGTGGAAGTTAAATCCTATTGAGGAAAATAGAAAGGAGCATAAACTCTGGCAAGTGAAGTGTAAAAATATCATTAGGAAGGTCAGAAAAGAATTTGAAGAACCGCTAGCCAAAGTCTTAAAAAGAAAGTTTTTTTTGTTTGTTTGTTTGTTTTTTAGTACACCGGAAGCAGGAAGCTGCTAAACAACCAGTGGAGTCACTGGATGATTGAGATGATAAGGGAGCACTCAAAGACGATAAGGCCATTGCGGAGAAACTCAGTGAATTCTTTGCATTGGTCTTCATGGCTGAGGGGATATGAGGGAAATTCCCAAACCTGAGCCATTCTTTTTAGGTGACAAATCTGAGGATGTCCCAGATTGAGGTGTCATTAGAAGAGTTTTTGGAACAAATTGATAAATTAAACAGTAATAAGTCACCAGGATCAGATGGTATTCACCCAAGAGTTCTGAAGGAACATAAATGTGAAATTGCAAAACTACTAACTGCAGTCTGTAACCTATCATTTAAATCAGCTTCTGTACAAGATGACTGGATAATGTGACACAAGTTTTTTTTAAAAGGCTCCAGAGGTGATCAGACACATAGATGAACACGATTTATTGGGGAAGAGTCAAAATGTTTTTTCTAAAGGGAAATCATGCCTCACCAATCTACTAGAATTCTTTGAGGGGGTCAACAAGCATGTGGACAAGGGTGATCCAGTGGATGTAGTGTACTTAGATTTTCAGAAAGCCTTTGACAAGTTCCCTCACCAAAGGCTCTTACACAAAGTAAGCTGTCATGGGATATGAGGGAAGGTCCTCTCATGGATTGGTAACTGGTTAAAAGATAGGAAACAAAGGGTAGGAAAAAATGGTCAGTTTTCAGAATGGAGAGGAGTAAAAAGTGGTGTTCCCCAGGGGTCTGTCCTGGGATCAGTGCTGTTCAACATAGTAATAAATGATCTGGAAAAAGGGTTAAACAGTGAGGTGGCAAAATTGGCAGATGTTACAAAACTACTCAGGATAGTTAAGTCCAAAGCAGAACTACGAAGAGCTACAAAAGGGATCTCACAAAACTGGGTGACTGGGCAACAAAATGGCAGATGAAATTAAATGTTGATAAATGCAAAGTAATGCACATTGGAAAACATAATCCCAACTATACATATAAAATGATGGGGTCTAAATTAGCTGTTACTGCTCAAGAAAGAGATTTTGGCGTCATTGTGGATAGTTCTCTGAAAACGTCCACTCAATGTGCAACAGCAGCCAAAAAAGCGAACAGAACGGTGGGAATCATTAAGAAAGGGATAGATAATAAGGCAGAAAATATCATATTGCCGCTATATAAATCCATGGTACACCTACATCTTCAATACTGTGTAAAGATGTGGTTGCCCATCTCAAAAAAGATATATTGGAATTGGAAAAGGTACAGAGAAGGGCAAGAAAAATGATTAGGGGTATGGAACAACTTCTATATGACGAGATTAAAAAGACTGGGATATTTCAGCTTGGAAAAGACAACCAAGGAGGAATATGATAGAGGTCTATAAGATCATGACTGGTGTGGAGAAAGTAAATAGGGAAGTGTTATTTACTCCTTCTCATAACACAAAAACTAGGGGGCACTAAATAAAATTAGTCAGCAGGTTTATAATAAATATAGGGAAGTATTTCTTCACACAACGCACAGTCAACCTGTGGAACCCGTTGCCAGGGGATGTGGTGAAGGCCAAGACTATAACATGATTCCAAAAAGAACTAGATAAGTTCATGGAGGATAGGTCAATCAATGGCTATTAGCCAGGATGGGCAGGGATGGTGTCCCTAGCCTCTGTTTGCCAGAAACTGGGAATGGATGACAGGGGATGGATCCCTCAGTAATTGGTCTGTTCTGTTCCTTCTCTCTGGGGCACCTGGCACTGGCCACTGTCTGAGGACAGGATACTGGGCTAGATGGACCTTTGGTCTGACCCAGTCTGGCTGTTCTTATGCTCTCTCCCTGGATTTGGTTCTTGCATGTTAAAGTTCTGGAGTCTAAGAATTAAACAGTGGGATGCTGCAATCACCCAGTGAGATCTGACCGGTCTCGGTGTATGCCAGGAATGTAACACTGAGCTCCTGGCGTTTGGCCTGCCCCTGGGCTGAGCCGATTCTTCCCCTTTACCTAGGGGCCCTTGCCTGAGTCTTTCCCCAGCGGGGTTCCCTGCCTCTGGCCAGCCCCATCCCATCAACTCTCGTCACTTCGTTCTCTGCCTCTGCTCTTCTCCAAGCAGCTCCCAATTCCTGCCCTGTCTCCAGCCTCGTGTGACACCCCCAGGAATGCCCTGTTCCTGCTTCCCATTTCTTGTCCTTCCCAGCTGCTGCCTGGCTCTTGGCAGAGCCCAGGTGCCCTCTCTCAGGCCCCACTGGAGGCAGCTAATGAGTCACAGGGGATCTGGACCCATTCCCTCTTAGTGGGGCCCCCTGTGACATCCTCCCTCGTGGGAGGAGCTCCCTGTAAAAATCCGCAAGCCTACCTGTACAGGGGTCCACTCACCACAGCTGCGCTTCCTTGTGGCTGGGTCTGGGAACTGGCTTTTGGCCGGCCTCCCCTTTCCCTCGGTTGCTTGCGCAGAGGCCCCTCTCTCTCCGTGACTCAGGGTGCTCCCTCTTCATGACTCAGGCCACTTTGCCGGTGGACAGGCGGTAAATCCAGGCCCTCCCTCTACACTGCTGGAAGCCCAGGGACCCTGTACCCAGCAGCCCAGGTCGGCACAGTCACACCCCTTGCTGCTGTTTCCCTGGGCTACTTCCTACCTACCTAGCAGGCTCTCTTGGGCTTTCTTCCCCATAACGTCTCTGGGCTGACGCTTCTTTCAGGGCTAGGATCCCAGGGCTCATTCTCCCTGGGTTCCCTCTACACGACCTCTCTGCTCCCAGAGCGTGGCTGCCCTGCAGCCCTCCTGTTTTTTGATGCAGCAGCCTCATCCCACGAGGCTATGACCGCCCCTTTCTACATTCAGTTTTAGCCAGGAGCTTGGGTTTTTTTATATCCTTTCACTCAGCCTAGTAATTTCCCTGACATTCTTGCCAGTCCCTTTAAGAAAAACCTTCGGATTTCCGGTGTGACACTCTGTACCTCAAAGTAGTATCCTGGCTGGTGGGTTTGGAGGGCTCAGTGGTCCCACAGTCCAGGTTGCACCCCAGGATCCCCATCACACTTGGCCGACTCAGTTTTTCACAAAGCGACTTTCTTTCCATCGACTATGGCCCCCCAATGCCATAGAATGTGATCAACTGTTTCTTTGGTTCTGGGCACGTTACTCAGCCTGTTTTTTTGTCGTTTTCATCAGTTTAGCTTCTCATTTAAGGCACAATGGCCTGTTGATGCCCTAAAAATGGCAACTTCACTTTTTCTGTCAAGACTGCGGAGTGTAGCATTATCTGCCATTTTTCTGTGCACCCATCGTAGACCCTGTGGCTCCACCCTGGCATGTAAGGGGTTAATAGAGGCCTCGGGAATCTATCTCCGCACATGCAGATTTGTGGCAAAACTTCAGTGCTCTGGTCAGATCCCAGCTGGGGTCAATTGGCCTTCGCTCCATTGGGGTCAATGGGGAGCTTCCAATCTGAAAGTCAGGAAACAGGCTCCACAGCTTTTAATCTGGCCAGACAACAAGGGGACCCCGAAGGGACACGAATCCTACTGCAGGGCTCACCCCAGGCACGGCTGAGCACCCTGACCACCGGTGAAATCGGGGGGAGATGCGGGAGCCCATCTCCCACCTGGAGACGTTGGGAGCCCTCAGAACGGTTAGGCCAGCTGGTGTCGGTGCACTGGCTGGTCTCATTCATGCCCGGGTCTAGCCCACGAGTCTGGTGTTTGTCTTGCAGATGAATGTTGGTTCGCTCCTCTTCCCAGTCCATGCTGCTTCCCCTCTTGATTCTCCACTTTGCCGTGGCAGGTGAGTGACGTCGGGGCCCCAGTAATGGGGGGAGAGTGGCGTGTTTATACAGAGAGAGATTGTGGAGCTTGGGGAATGGGACAGTCTCTCGCTGTGTCTGTGCAGTGCCTGGCAAGATGGGGCCCAGATCTCACTTAATAAATTACATCCATAATGCTACATTAGAGAACATGGTTAAGTTTGCAAAGTCGCACTCAAGGGGTATGAAATGCCAGAGTTAAGGTCACCCCGTGCAGCCATATCTCTGCCCCTTTGTGCATCTGAATCATGACACAGCCTTTAATGGCAGGATAAAGCACTGACACCGGCCCCCTGCCTCATTCCACGCACACGGTGACATGCTCACTTAATGGGCAGCTATTCAATACTTGGTTTAATCTTCCCTGGGCCAGGTGTGGCTCCAGGCCCGTTCCACTGCCGGCGACGCAAACCCTGCTCTGGAGACAGGATTGTTTACTTCCTCGTGGGCTTTTCTGTGGCGTTTCCTCACTGTAGCATCTCATTCCTTCGTTCACTGCATCTTCCCAACACCCCAGCAAGGTGCAGGGGTGGTGTCGTTATCTGCATTTTACAGCTCAGGCCCTGGGAGATCAAGGTGCACCGCTTTGGGGGCCCTCGTGTGAGACGCGGGGAGCTGAGCTTGCAGAGTACTTTGCATTGCCGTTTTGGCCTGAGTGGCAAAAGGCAGAACTACAGCACTTCTCAAGCAGAATGTATGTTTTGGGGGGGGGAATTCTGTACGTGTGCAGTGGTGTAGAATTCCCCCAGGACTAACCATAGCAGGGTTTGATTGCTCCTTCCACTGAGCCTGAAGTAGGGAGCTTGGGGCAGCCACTGGCTTTAACCAGTGATTATCTTTGGATCAAATATTCCACTGAGAGCAGCTGTCAGCACGTTCCACATAACAATATGTTCAAAGCACAGGTCCTGTTGACTTCAATTGCAGCTGTGAGCTCTCAGCCCTTCTACAGATCAGGCCCCAGGCTCTCAAGTCAGGCATACAGAAAATCAGGAATGTGCAGTTATTTTCCAGCTGTGAAAATTTTGGTATAAGTGACATGCCCAGCATCACAGAGGAACTCGGTGGCAGAGGCAGGGATAGACTGCAGCTCTCTAGGGCAGCAACCAAACCATGAGACCCTCTTCCTGCAGTCTCCTACCCTGTTCATTAAACACCTCCCAACTTCTTCAAAAAAACGAGGCAGGGGTGCTAGAGGTGAGTCTCCTTCACTACACACCTGATTGATCCCCAGAGCAGGTCTCTCCCATGCATTGAATGAGGGGCAGCCAGCACCGCAGACCTTCCATTGCTTTGTGTTCCAGCCCCGTACTCGGAGGCCTGACTGGAGGTTAGTGTGAACAGCTGGGTGACCCTGACCTGCTCCGCCAGGGGCACGTACCCTGAGGCCTCCATGCTGTGGCTGGGCGGAGCTTGGAACAACATGCTGGTGGAGAGCGACACCAGCCTGTGGAGAGACCCCAAGGGTCTCTGTGATGTGAGCAGACGAATCCTCCTGCCCAGGGCAGGGGGCAACAACTACACCTGGGGCTCTGGGGAAAAAACAGCATGTGATTAAAGATTATCTAATAAAAGGACAGAGTTAAGGTTACACGGGCAACCTTAATGCAGGCATTTCCTAACTTCTGAGTGCTGAACTTTGCATCCGTAACATCTTTGAATGTAGCTGTTTTGTGTGTAATAATAGTCACTGGTGAAAAAAGCACAAGGAGGTTTGGAAGGGGTCTAGCAGTTCAGCTTCACGGCATCTCACCAGCCACTCACAGATTGGGGTCAGGAAGGAAATTCCTCCTCTGAGCAAGTAATAACCGCCCACTGCAGGGTCATATGCCTCCTCTGAAGCATGGGTTTGGGATGTCGGTCTATATGGCCCTTGGGTCTGCACCAATCCAGGCTTCTCATCATGCAGCGCCCCCTGCTGCGAGAGGCCAGGATTGGAGTAACTTGTATTTGTCACACACACACACAAGGAACCCACTGACTCCTGTGCTTTTTGCTCTGCACAGAAACCTCAGCACCAGATATTGTAGCTCAGTTTGGGGGGGACGTCACCCTGAGCTGCCTCTTCCCGTCCCCGCCTGGGATGAACCTCCAGCGCCTGACCCTCACCTGGCAGAAGGAACGGGCGGGGGCAGAGGACCTGGTAGTTCATAGTTACTATTACGGGAAGGAGCAGCTGGAGAGACAGGACGAGGCTTATAGGAACCGGACTCGGCTGGATCCAGAGGGGCTGGCCCAGGGGAATGCATCCGTGACACTGAGGGGCGTCCGCATCCAGGACGAGGGCGTCTATCTCTGCCACATCACCGCGGAGCAGGGCAAGATTTCAGAAAGGAGACAGGTTAAAGTGATGGGTAAGCAGGCCCCTCCTGGGGAGTGTGAGGCGCCATCCTGGCCCTGTTAAAATCAGTGGCCAAACTGCTGTGACTCCCCTGGGGCCGGGCAGCCAGCGCCACAGACCTTCCATTGCTTTGTGTTCCAGCCCCGTACTCGGAGGCCCGACTGGAGGTTAGCGTGAGCAGCCAGTTGACCCTGACCTGCTGTGCGGAGGGCGGGTACCCCGAGGCCTCTGTGCTGTGGCTGGACGGAGCCGGGAACAACGTGACGGCGGAGAGCGACACCAGGCTGCAGAGAGACCCCAGGGGGCTCTGTGATGTGAGCAGCCGAATCCTCCTGCCCAGGGGAGAAAGCGTCAACTACACCTGCCTCCTGGAGAGCCCCGGACAGCCCCGCATCATCCGACACCTGAGCGTCTCCGGCAGCCCAGGTACCCGGGCCGGAGAGGGCCCCGGTGCACGCGCCGACGGGATCGCTCAGACCTGCTGACTGCCTGTCGTGTGTGGCTTTTTGGCCCCTCCTCCAGGGGATCCTCCCTCCCCTGCGCTCTATGGCGAAATCCCCATCTGATTGGCCGCCTTCCTCACTCCTCCCCCCTTGGGGGGGAAGGGCAGCCAATCGGAGCTGCCTGATCCCTCCACATATTCTTAGGCCAGAAGGGATCCTGTGAGCACCTAGTGCGACCCCTGCAGTCCCCCGGCCATGGGACTGCCCTGAATTAATTCCTGTTTGAACCAGGGCAGCAGGCAGAGGTGGGGGTGGGGGGGCAGTGGGGGGGCCCAAAGCAGAGGTGGGTGGAGCACAAGCCACAGATCTCCCAGCTCATCCGCATGTTCTCTTTCTACAGATAACTGTACTAACAACCCGTGCCTGTTTATCGCCCTGCCCCTGACAGTGCTGCTGGGTGTACTGGGAACTGCCTGGTGCTTCCTAAGGCGTCGGTTCTCGCGGTGTTCGGCTGCAAACATAGTGTGACCCACGTAATGTGAGCTGCTTCTCTGTGTCTCTGTCCCCTCTCTGTCCGGGTGTACGTCCTTTGAGGCAGGGCCTGTCTCTCGTAACAGGACGCTTGTGCGAGGCTGTAGAGAAACAACAGTCCTTAATAGAGACCGAGGCTCTGGTTCAGTGTGTGTTAGGTGTCATCTAGTGATAGTCCCTATAATAACCTACTACAGCTGCGGAGTGACTGCCTTATTTTCTTACATGGAGTGAAGTGCTAATTGGACTGACTGCTTTAGCGCCACACACAGGAAAACAGCCTTCTACCGTTGCCAGCTAGTGGAGTGACTCCTTTAGCTCCACCTAGAATATAAGTGTGCTAGCTAGACGTCCATGAGCCCTTCTGAAATCCCGGGTGCCTTTGTCTCTTTGAAAGCCGCATTTTCTTTCTGCTCAGATAAATCCAGAGCTGCTAAAATCCATCTGCGGGGAGCGCTCAGGTTTTGCTCCGTGTGTTGGGCAGCTGTATGACTTGATGAGCCTGCACACATCCCAGCAGCCACAGTTCTTTGGCAAGTGTCCTGTTCATGTCGGACGTCTTCCAGGATAGTCATGGCTTCCTAACTCCCAGCAAGGCGGGTACGATGCCTCCCATGTAACAAGGGTCACGCACACGCGCACACACACACACACGCAAATGTGCAAAACGTTTCAGCCAAAACTTTTTTTCCAGTGAAACCCGCGGCTTCAGCAGCTGTCCAAGGTTTTGTGAACTCCGGCCGATTTTGCTGACTTGTTTGTTTCAGGAAGAAACATAAAAAAATGGAAATGTCCCCGTCTTTTTGGTTCACAACAACTTTCCCTTTCAAACCTTCCTTGTAGAAAACCCAGGTCCAAAACCAGCCCCAAGGAAACACTTTGAGTTTGTCTGAAGATTTTAGATGCCAACACTATTTTTTTTTTTACTTGTTGCAGAAAATTTCAAAACTGTTCGGTTCCCCCCCAAACTTGTCGAAATCGCCAAAGAACCAAAAAACCCGTTATTTGTCCAGCTCTGCCTCTGTATGGGCCGCTTAACCCTTAGCGCACCGGGGAATATTGTACCAAGCCCTGGTGAGCTGCACTGAGGACCGGAAGCCAGCTGGCCCTGTGCTGCGCTCTCGATCTCTCTTAGCGATGGAGCAGGGCTGTCTGTTAGAAAGGAGATTGCGTGGGTCCCGTCTGCAGTTGCTCTGCAGCCATTTTATGCCAGCTGAGCTGCTGCCCGTGTCCGCTCCCCTGGGGACTACCCTGATCTGCACCAGCCATGCACCCTCCACCGGTGTAGGGAGCAAGGGGATATGAGGGGCTTTGCATGGCAGGGCAGAGGCGGGAAGGGGTGTGACCAGGGTGATTCTGCTCCCCTGCAAAGCCTCATAGGACCTGCTGAAGTAGGGAAGGGCAACTTAGAGCAGACTTCGCGGTTGCTGTAGTCTGCAACAGGGTTACCCCTGCTCTGGGGCCCTGCAGTGGGGTGAAGCTGGTGTCCCTAGAGGAGTCAGAGTGGATGTGATGGTGGTGACGCTGGAGGTAGGATTAGAAATTCAACCCTCTCTGCTAAATGGGACTGAGCCCCCCATCTTGGCCCAAAGAGACACTTTGCCCCCCGGCTATTCCCTTCACATCACTTTAATACCTAGATCTTTTGTGGTTTCTCTTGAACAGGGTCGTTTCTGTGCCCCGGAGCTGTTTTGATCCCTGCGGGTGCCCCCAGCGACGTGGCAGCTAATGGAAACTAAAGTGCAGGGACGTTACAATAAATGGACGTGTTTTCAGTGTAAAGCGACGTCTCTTCTTCACTGTGCGCTGACCCAAATCCACAACCCCAGGCAGGTTCGACGTTGGGCCGCTGTAAATCTGCACGGCCCACCCGGCTGCAGCGAGTGACGGCAGCTGGGGATCTGCCCCCATTGGCTCCAGGGGAACGATGGCCGATCGAGGCCCACTGGGATCTGGCTCTGTTGAGTATATAAATCACACACGCAGGAGGAGGTGGGACTAGTACTTGGTCCTTCAGCTTCATATGCTAAGGATTCTTGCCGGCAAGTTAAAGGAGTATGGGCTGGATGAATGGACTGTAAGGTGGATAGAAAGCTGGCTAGTTCGTCGGGCTCAATGGGTAGTGATCAATGGCTCCATGTCTAGTTGGCAGCCGGTTTCAAGCAGAGTGCCCCAAGGGTCGGTCCTGGGGCCGGTTTTGTTCAATATCTTCATTAATGATCTGGAGAATAGCGTGGACTGCACTCTCAGCAGGTTTGCAGATGACATTAAACTAGGAGGAGTGGTAGATATGCTGGAGGGTAGGGATAGGATACAGAGGGACCTAGACAAATTAGAGGATTGGGACAAACGAAACCTGATGCGCTTCAACAAGGACAACTGCACTGAGGACGGAAGAATCCCATGCACTGCTACAGACTAGGGACCGAATGGCTAGGGAGCAGTTTTGTAGAAAAGGACCTAGGGGTTACAGTGGATGAGAAGCTGGATATGAGTCGATAGTGTGCCCTTGTTGCCAAGAAGGCTAATGGCATTTTGGGCTGTATAAGTAGGGGCATTGCCAGCAGAGCGAGGGACGTGATCGTTCTCCTCTATTTGACATTGGTGAGGCTTCATCTGGAGTACTGTGTCCAGTTTTGGGCCCCACATTACAAGAAGGATGTGGAAAAATTGGAAAGAGTCCAGCGGAGGGCAACAAAAGTGACATAGGGCAC